ATTATTTTTTCCCCTCTTTCTACCCTCTAAGATTATATTTGTAGCCTGGACCATGGAAAGGGAGAGGTGGGTGAAAAAAGGGGGCAGTCAGCAAAGGAGTGATTTTCTCAAGAAAAATAATGAAGGCAGCTGCTAGGAGAAACTTCCTGCACAAGTTCAGGGCAAGAGGCTAACGTTGTTAGAACTATTAGCTCTTCCCAGGAGTGCATGTTTACTAGCGAGGTGTTTAAAGTAAGGAACATCAATAAAAGGCAAAATAAAAGCTGATAGGGAGGGGTTCTGTTCCACATTCCAAACAGACTGCTTCAGAGCATTTGTTTCAGGAAGGTTTTAACATCTCTGACACTTTGGCAATGAAACCCACATTCCTACAGTGTCCGCTAGTCTTCGGGGGTGCATGTGCAATATTCAGAATCTACTAGAAGCACCAAGGAAAAGCCAATGTACATACTGAATGGGAATGCCAGTCCATTCTTCTCTATAAGCTGCAAGGTATCTTCTCCACAGGCACTTGTCAGCTCCATAAAGGGTGGTGAACAGATCCTCTCATCTGCAAGACAAAAAAAGACTCAAATGGAGATGAGGGGTTTAGCTTCTCAGATGCATCGTTATCAGCCCTCTCTATACTAACAGCTTCTTGATAGTCAGCTTTACTTTGACAGTTGACATTAAAGCACCAGAAAGATTATCAGGCAGGCCTGAATTTGGGTTTCTGGAAACATTTCAGAAGATGAAAGGCCCAATTTTCAGACAATCTAAATGGAAACATGAAGCCCATATTTTCACAGTTAGGCAGCAAAAACGATCACCTGCTTAGGAATATGTAGCTGCACAAGACTTAGCCAGTGAGGTGAAAAGCAATTGGAATCTTAGCTCTTAACGTTATGCCTTCAGGCATGATTTTCTAAAGCATTTTACAAAAACCTGAATGATCGGCAAGCATGGCTGGAGTAGGCAGTAGCACAAAGCCATTGTTACTGTAGGGCCCCTCAGGAAGCAGATTCCAGAATGGATTTACTTCAGCCAAGGTGCCAGTCATGTAATAGATCCCACTGTTCATTGGGACCTCTCTGCCATGAAAGCAGTGCTCATTTGGTCTGGCAAAGCCAGTCAGAGCACCTCTGAGACACCCTGGCAAGACTGCTCAGTGGACTTTGGTTAAACAGAAAAAACATGGGAACGATCATAAAATTTAACACAGTAGGTCTGCTCCAGGGTGTTTCTGGTGACCTTGTGTTTGTTCACACGGGGTTGTGGGAAGGCTGGAGTCAAAACCCAGCTCTCTTAGTGACTCAGTAGGTTGAATTGCTCTAGGATTCACGTCCTGTTCACTGTAGGAGAACTTTGATTCTCCTAGGAATGCAGCAGGAAAGGGGGAAAGCACTGCAGGACACAAAGTACTTGAGCATAATCTCCACCGCTCAAGCGGATTGGGTTGCAATGTCAAGTGCAAAGAGAACCTTGGCTTCAGCCATGACTCTGGGACAGATCAGTGGGCCCTAAGACTTTCAGGCAAAAGCTATGGACACACTGAAAATGTCAAAGCAAGAACATCACCCAAGTAAGAGCAACTATCCAACCTAACTCCTCAGTGAGCACAGTCTTAAAAGTACTGCCTCCATGGAGTTTTAGCTATGGCCAGGTTAACTTTGGAGTCACAAATGAGTTACAACTTGAGTTAGCTACGCACTACTGAACTGCAGTCCAGAACGGGTCTGCCAAAACTCACTTTTAAGACTAATTTCAAGAGAAACAGCATGACACTTTCCTTCAAGAAGCAACTGGAGACCAGCACAAATGATGGGAGCAACTCCATCTGGTAAACTCAAGTACAGGTTTATATCAACCAGCAATTTGTCTTGAAAATAAGCGAAATGTGACTGTTATTACCATCCACATCTATCCCAGCAAGCACAGAGAATCCAAAGAGGTGGAGGCTGTGCTGTGCAGATGGTGCAGAAACTAAGAAGTACATGTAAACTAAAATCCCAGTAAAACTACCTATACTGTTTCACATCGGCACGGAACTACACCATACAATGACAATCATACATCCAGAAACCACTTAATAAGCATTGTTTAGATCAATGCTTTTCACTTCATTATAAGTATATGTTTATGCATGTTCCCTCACATAGAAGAGAAAATTGAAACGCTGAAAATAACAGAGAGGCAAAACTCTCTGTATTTTGTTATACATATCTCAATACATGCTTCAATGCTCTAAGAATATCTGAGAACTCTGGCCATTAGCAATACCGCCGCTACAAGAAGTTTTCTGTGAAAAAAAATATTTTCAGACATCCTAAAAGAAGCAGAAAGATTGATGCTTTGAGGTCAACCTCTACAAAGCTAAACAAAACATCCCAGACTTCAAAGCTTTCAGTTGGCTGCTATGAAAACAGAAAGTGCCATCCAAAAGTGACAGGTACTGTAATATTTACAAGCTTTTGCCAGAGCAAAAGTTCCTTAGTTGGATGAATTTAAGGAATCAGATTTAGTTTACAGATACTTGGGAACAACTCTGGCTTGGCAGCTCTCCCACCCATATGCTTAAGGCTCACAAATAACTTTGCCTTCAGAGTGCAGATGCAGAGGGACGTACGGTTCCACCTCACTTCCCTCTGTTTCTCTCCCATGCAAACAGGGACAGGAGACAGGGAGGATTCAGCGTTCCTGCCAATTACATGACACTTGCATGGGGAGATGAAGGAAGGGGCAAACAGTAATTTATTTGACTTTGTACTTAGAAAAGACCACATGGATCAACAAAAATTAGCAGAGAAGACTCTTAGCATCTCAAAGTGCTCCTACTGACTTCGCACAACGCCGGCATTTTCTCCACCAAGAAGGCAATTCTACCCCACTGAAGCCTCTAAAACAGACCATTAATTCACAGCCAGACCTGAGGACAAACAAACCTTCACTCAATACAAGATTCCAGTATGGCCTACAGCTAAAAAGCTGCTGCTCTGAGTTTAACTGCACACACTGCAATTCTGAAGGTAGCTGTAGGTTTAAAAACAAGTTCTCCAGCTGCCAGTGATGATCCTCTCCTCCTTCCCAGGGTGCCAAACACCTGCTGGAGCCTTCTCTCATCACTGAGCTCCTGCTATCGGAGTGTCAGCAGTCTCAGCGCACCTTCTCTGCACTGAGGTCCAGGGCAGACCTAATTCAGTGGTTGAGGGTCAATCTCAATACCGTTTTACACCAGCATGGAACTATGCCATACAACCCACAAAGTGCAAACGAACAGCTAGTGGTACATTGAACCCTCCCCTCTCCTCCTGCCTGGGTAAGCTGCGTCAGCAGGATCTTGCTGAGTTGTGGTCAGGCGCTGGACCCTTGGCCACTGTTACTGCTTCTTCGCAAACCAGTAGTGACCAGTCACCGTGGGAAACCATTGCCAAAAAGGACAACAATATATACACAAACAAATAAACATAACAGTCTAGAGATGAGAATGGGTGATGTGAGTCTGGCCCCGCTGCTGACCCTTCATACTGACACTACAGCCCAACCCTCCAATCTAAAACCAAGCAATATTCTCATTTGCATCAGAGCGCCCTAGTGAGGATGAAGCACTTCTATAAGAGCAGTCTGAGAACTATTAAAGTATGAGGCCACAGCTATTGCATGCCTCCCACGGAGCTGCATTAGCCATGCACCACCAGCAGAAGTGACTCTGTATCTGCGTCAGGACGCAGAGCTGATAGAGCCCAGAACCAGCGCACGGAGCCAATGCTGTTGCTCTTCTACCATCGGTACTCAGCTCTGAGCTGTGCGTTGGGATGCTGCTGACTGGAAGAGACTTCCAAAAGAGCAAGTTTGGAAAAGACTCTACCTCATCTTCCATCCTAGGCTATGTACAAGTGCCTTTAGTTCCCAAGAGATTATTACAAATGCAATTTCTATGCTTTCCATTTTGGATCTGAAACTAAAACTCAGGCACTTCCTGCCTCCCTTTGGATACACACATTGAATCACGTGATAAACAGATTACCGTGATTATTAACCCTATCTTCATGCAGCCTTTACTGGACCGAAGATATCAGCAGGAAAAATCTCTCCATAAGTCAAAGTACTGCTGTGATATAAGAGGCTGTACATTTTTATAGGGCACACTTAGACAGTGGTATTTATTTATTTTTCCAAGTGCCTGGTAGTCTCTCAGAGACCTGCCTTTGAAATACAGCCAGGACTCCAGGTGGACCATGTCAGGTCCAGAACTGCCAACTTAACAGCAACAAGGAAAGACTCTTCAGGTCATGGGAGGGTTCAGCTCTCACTTCAGACAAGTACCAAAAGCATCTGTAGCATTTTTATTGTTAGAAACACCAGATCGTAATTAAATTTAAAAGTCAAAATGCTGTCACTGTGTTCCTCCCTTGTCTTTGTCCTCATTTTTATTGTATGCCTTGACACAAATTTTGTGGTGTGTGCTTTCTATATTTTCCTTAAATTATTCTCCCCTTTCTTCAAGATTATCTTGAAGCTCCCTCTCTTCTCTTTTTTACTTTCTGCATTTTTTCTCATCCCCATCCCCATTTCTTCTCTATGACAGTCTTTTTTTTCAACTGTCATTTCTGTTCTTCCACTGCTATCTACACTTTATCCCGCCATCATCTTTGAACGGAGATCACGGCTGGGATCACGCTCACTGCAAGTGCAGGGGAAGAGAGGGACCTCTGAAGACAGCAGGGAAGCTGGCACTAACAGGTTGTGGGTCACAGGCAGCAATCGCCTCCCTCTGTACAGCGTCGGGGCAGTCAGCTCTGGCACATCTGGGGTGAGCTTTGTTGCTCCCATGGAGCAACAACGTTATTATGAAGGTGGAAAACACGACTGATGAAGGCCAGTTTGCAGGATGAGTAACACAGCTAACCAACAAGGGAGAGATGGAAGAGTACTCAAACCTTGGTGTTGGTGCCAAGGAGGGGATTATTCCGGATGAAGTTCAACAATAGTGACAGGAGCAATGAGATATGAAGATGGGAAAGATGCAGACTAAATACTGGCTGGGGAAAAAGTTTTCTGGCAGTGAGAATTGGCGGAAATCTTTATGCTCGGGGCTTGCTTTAGTAAGAGATGTTGAGCAGTGCTCCTCTACCCAGGGCCCGTGCACTACTGGTGGCCTGCAGGCAGATTGCCAAACAGTTACAGGACACCAAAACCCCCAAAAGGAAGAAGGCACAAGAAACCCAACACACACACTCCCACACCGCAGGCAGGCAAAATAGATAGGGGAAAAATAAGAATAAGCTGTTCCCAGCTGAACCAAATCTTATGTGATAGTAAATGGAAACCACTGTGACAGGGCTGCACAAGAAAGTCCACCCCTGGGCGGTTTTCAGTGAGGGCAGGTGGTCCTTGCACTATAAGAGGTACTGACACAGAGGGCAGATCTGGATCATTGCGGGGAAAAAAACCACCGTAAGAATAGATGAACCATAAAATAGTTTCCTATTCAGATTTCTTTGGTCCTTACAATTTTGGAGAGACAAGACAACAAATAATAAATCACAGACCCAATGCTCTGTAACTGCATTT